TCTTTCCATTCACCAAAGATCCTCTGACTCCCACTGGTTCTCTCTCATCAAGACCACATCAGCAAAGATCAACTGGAGCCTCAACAAATTGCATCAGGACAGTTTAATTCAAATGGGCGAAACATGCAAGTATCAAACTTAGTCTCATTATTTGATACATTAATTATCCTTACCCCTTTTTAAGAAGGGCGTGTTATAACTAAACTGATGGTTTGCTCAGGCTGTTGATCTGCTGAACTTCAAACAATGCTATAACTTCTTGCTTTCCTGTATTCTGCTTCAGCTCTCTTTCCCTTGGTAAACTGTATGCATGTATGTATGTGTATGTTAGAGTAGTTTAAATGTTTAGTCTAGTAAATAAAGTCTTGTTCATATAACACGTAAAGTTGTCCGTGTCTCAAGCTCATGTCTGGAGTCACTAATCACTAATCATAGATCTTGACTACTTGCTCTTAGTAGTACTTAGTAAGAAAGACATTTCCCCGGAAATGTACATTTCTATGAATCAATTAATAACCCATATTAAGTGTTCACAGGATGAACCGAGTAATTGGTTGTAATGTTAATGTAGCTACATCAAGTTAACCCGATTAACTGATCCAAATATTCATAATCAATTATAACAAGTTATGATTGGTTATTAATGTTTCATAGAGCTAATTTGCAACAGCTGTTAAAAATGTGGTCATGTGGTCAAGGCAGAGGCCATAGAAAAGACAGAAACAGACCTTAAAACTGATTTTTCTGCATTTAATTATAGACGAACTGATCTATAAATGAACATGCATCCCAGAACATTCTGTGAATGATTTACTGTCTTGTGTAGTGTCTTTTAATCCTATTATTTTTTTTATTGTTGAAACAGTGTATTTTATGAGAGAACCAACGGTCAATGTAACCTCACCTATACCATGTTTGGTCTCTATAAATTGGTACTTTGAAGATCGAAACGATTGTGTACATGATATGTCGATAGCTGCGCAACATATTAGTATTACAAGAATCTTTCATAGTTTCTTCATCAGCAACCAATCCAGCTGCACATGCAAATGAGCACGCTTAAAACAAAGACCCATAAATCAACAACAGAGGAATTTTCCCACTTGAAAATTCCACCCTTCTCATTGGTCAAGCAAACCCAGAGAGGTGGGGCTTTTCTCAGGCTTTATTAGAGACAAATTCACAGTGACCCACCGTCTCTCTTCTGGTCTCTACTGCTGCTTCTTCGGGTTGATGTCTGTGGGAACCCCCACCGGGGCCGTGACCAGAGCCTGCTTTGCCTTCACTCTCCCAACAGAGTCAGACTGTATTTTCTTCAATCCAACTCAGAAGAAAACTGCAACTTTACCATCACTGAATGGGCAACCATCAACTCTTCCGACTTCCTCACTTCTTGGCTGCCTGCGTGGCCTCTCCGGCCCAGGGCCGGTAGGCCACAATCTGCATGTGCTCAGCCATGTGCTCATGGAGAGAGAGAAAACCTTCAACCAGAACAGAGTCAAACAAACCACTCAAGTTCATCAACTTTTCTTCCTTCGATTGAGAAATCGATTGAGACTAATGGAACCATCAACAACCTTCTTCAGGAACTTCAAGAAATGTTTCCACTGCAAAGGCCATGCAAGTATACATTTAATGAGGTGTTCTGAAAATAATAAGCTGGTGGTTCTTTTCATAGTTAAATGGATCTTTTCCATAGTTCCATTTCCAGCTTCCGGTTTCATTCTGTCACTCACTATTTTACCTATCCATGTATGTATGTTTGTTTAGTTTAGTTATGTTTGTGATTTAGCTAATAAAACTTGTGCTCAATACGTATTTGGTTCTGATTCTCTGCTTGCAACAAAGTTTATTTTACGATCTTGATCTTGTTACATGCTCTAAGTGCTATACATGCTAAGAAATAATTATTTTTCTGTGGCCATTAAATATACCCTTTTCTTAGAATAAATGAATAATCAAAAGAGTTCGTTGATTAATTGATTGTAATATTAATTTAGCTACATCAAGTTAATCCAATTAACTGACCCAAATATTCATAATTAATCATAACAAGTTATTATTAATATTTCCCCTTTGAGCTAACTCGTTACATATATTTAATACATTAATGATGTAAAGGAAAAACTATTAAAGGTTAAAACATATGATTTATTGAATTATATGATTATAACTTTGTAATTTCTTTTGCTCCCTCTCCTGAAAGTAGAACTGACATTTTTAATGATTACATTATAAATCAGTCACTAGTAAACTGGTAAAAGCTTCAAAGCATTAATGGTCTCCTGTTTCAAAAGATCTGTACACAAATCAGATAAAAAGAGCTTGTGTACATTGCATAAAAATATTTAAAGAATAAATGCCTAATAAAAGCATAATCATTAGCAGTTTGTTCAATAGCAGGGGTTATGAGAAGAGCGCTTTCAATGGGACAGTTAATAAAAACTTGATAATGAAAGTTTAAAACTGAAGGTTGCTGTTTTTAAAGACTTTTTCAAAGTGCATATAGTAAAAGGTATGTCAGTGCAGCCAGGAGTATGACATGTTGTTGAAATGAGCATGCACTTTCAACAATTGTTGAAAGATAATTTATTCAACCAAAGCTAATGGCCAAGTGCTCAACTAAAGGGAATCACCATAATTGCGAAACACCTTTAAACAGACTACAACAACCTTTGTACGTATCATATGAAATAAATAAAGCCAAACTGGTTTGTAATAAGTGAATATGGTAATGCTGTTTTTGGAGTTCCTCTGGTGAGATATTGATTTTATTTGCAGTTGATTTCATTTATACGGAAGCCCTGAACCGCAAAAAAAAAAAAAAAAAAAAAAAGCATTTCGAGATTAAAGTCGAAACCGCAATGTAAATTGTGCGCGTCCTCTGAGCCAGTGGACGCGCACTGTTATGAATGCACAAACTTCTATGGAAGACTGTATTATCGTAATGTTTCGACTTTATTCTCGAAATGTTTCGACTTTAATCTCGAAATGTTTCGACTTTAATCTCGAAATGTTTCGACTTTAATCTCGAAATGCTAGTTTTTTTTCTGATTTTTTTTTGTACAGATTTTTTTTTTTTTTTACGTTGCGGTTTCGACTTCAATCTCGAAATATTTCGACTTTAATCTTGAAATGCTAGGTTTTTTTTGTTTGTTTTTTAAAGATTTTTTTTTTATTTTTACGTTGCGGTTCAGGGCTTCCGTACATTTAAGGCTGTGTGGCTGTAGTCAGTTGTAGTTGTTGTGTTTCTGCTCATCTCTTCCCTTTTATCCTGTTCCCGTTGTTCCTCTTATCTTAAGTGATTCTGCTTGTTAACTGCAGGTGTCATCACCAATGTTCTATCATCAGGGAATTTTTTTTTTTGTCTATTCTATATTTCTCTCCTTCGAGTATGATACTAGTATTAAACCTGTTACTGTCTTCTCTGTTTTATTTTCTACTACTGATAGTCTCTGAGACTTCTTGGACGTCTCCCGTTTTAAGCTGTTCTTAACCTGTTGTACTGTTCTATGATGTGCTACTACGCATGGTGTTTGTGTCTTTTAATTTTGTAGTTCTGTGAAGCACTTTGGTCAGTCAGTGGCTGTTATAAAATGTGCTATATAAATAAAATGAACTTGAACTTGAACTTGATCACTTGTAGAATGAATCTACTTTATTTCACTAACTGCAACATTGCTTCAGTGTTACTTTTACACTCTATAGACTGGGACCATATGAAAACTGAGCAGTGTTTTTTTTAACACTGGGGATTTTACTGTGTAAACATGTAACCAGCAACATGTGTTTTTCTTTATTAAATAATTTATTAAAATAAAATAAATTTTAAACAAAAATTATATTTAACTACAAATACACACTAAGAAACATGATGTGTGAGACATACACAAGTTTTGTTGTGGTCTTGTTGGGATCATACCAGCACCCAAAATACAACATATTTCCACCAGCAGCCCAAGCTGGTCCCAGCATGCAAAACATACCTTATGCTGGTCCACCAGCACACCAGCATCCTATATTGGGATCCAGCAAACCAGCAACCAGCATCCCATGCTGGGGACCAGCAAACCAGCAACCAACATCCCATGCTTGTCCTATCGTGCAAAACATACCTTATGCTGGTGACCAGCAATGCTGTATTTTTCAGCAGGGATTTAAAACCCACTATAGAGGTATTGCCGTCTATTAGAGTGAAGCGCTGTATGGCAATGGAGCTTGCCAACTATTTTACTGTAATTTAGTTATATATCAGGTTGTTTTCCAACAAAACTGATTGAACATGATCAGTGAGGCAATCAATTTTTTCCCCTGACACTCTTAGTTAACTTTTTAGCAGCTTTTCCACCATTCTCTTTGATTAACCATTCCATTTCGTGCCCATACGGTTTATGGTGTCATTTTCTACTGTGGTGCTGATAACGGAGCTCTTTTAAATGTATTACAATTGCGTCAGTCGTTGCTTTTACGCAAGAGTTTACAGATGAAATGAGATGTAAATAGCGACCGCGTGATGGAGGATGATCAGATATTTCTTTTCATTTTATTATTCATTTGTGTTTACAAATCAAATAGCATGATTAGCCAGCTACAGAGAAACTAGTTGCCAAGCAACAGACAAGTGACCAATCCTGGGTTGCAAAGTCACTACATGTATTCTACCAGCACGGTTAGCCAACCGTGTCAAGAATGGGTCGAGAGCGGTTTGTAACCGTGCCGTGCAGTACCAGGCTTAAGTGGAAATACAACTGGAACCGGTCCTTACCGTTCTTAGAACCGTTCGGCCCGACGGTGGAATAGCGGCTTTTGGTTAAAGTGAATGATGATGTACTACAATTGTATTGATACGCCAATTTTCGCCAAAGATATTTGGAAGTCAAATATTGTGACATCATTGTCAACTCAAGTATTTTAATTTGTTTTCTAGCAGGAAATAGACAGGCAAATTCTTCTCAACAGAAGTTTAGTTTTCATAAAGATCCCTCTGTTCATTAACTCACCTTGATAGTAAGCAGTGTTGGGTTGTGGCCAGGGCCTCCCCCAGTGTTTTCCGGGTTAAACTCTGAATCAGACTGGCACATGAAGCTTGGTTTTAGCACATAGCCACAGCGGCCATTTGGTAAAAAACGGCCTCTGTTCAGATCCATCTCGTTACATTGGGTTTGAAAGTTTAATGCCACTGCAAAATAATTTTTCTGTCAGTAATTTATAAATGTTGACTGTGCAGTCATTTTTAAAAACGTGCAGTCTGCAAGTTTTCTTTGATTAAATGTTTACCCATCTGACAACCAGCATTCCACATGTCTTGAGGATTGTAGTTGGAGGATTGCACCCGCTGACCAGATGGGTAGATCCTGCTCAATTGCATGCTGTTGTGACGTACAAACAACTTGCCTATGAAAAAAAGAGAGAAATTTAGAACCCACGCAAACAAACAAGAACATGTTTATCTTTTTTTTATTATATATATATATATATATATAGTATTTTATATATAGTTTAACACAAATTAGTTTTTTTCAAAAGTTACTTTTATTTTTACTGCACTTTTGGAGACAAAAACGAAATATGAGACGTCGTGTGAAGAAAACAAAAAAAATCACTTTTGCATTTACAGAATATTTCAAGATTGAATTTACATTTTCACTCAGGCAGTAATTTTGTCAAATTACTATATTACTATTTAACTCTGTGTAAGGATACATAAAATGTCACCTATTTTATTCAAAAAAGATTTAAGATGCAATTCCTATCACTGATTGCTAATAAACACAATAGTAGATATAGTACCTGATTCTTTGATTAGTTTCAATGCATCACTCTCAGAGAAAGAGGACATCTCATTGGGAGGTTTCTTGGTAGATGGATCAAATTGTTTGAAGGCAACACTTCGGGTATACACCACCAGATCAGACAGCTCTGGACTCAACTTACAGTCCTTCCGAGGAAAAGAAAAAGCAAAATTTGTACTCAGATAAAATGGTCAAACTGCCAGACTGCAAAAAAAGTGATTAAATTAGTCAAATTAAAACAAAAGTAATGATATGAAATGAGTAGTGATATGAGCAAGATACACCTATCCAAACATGTGTACAGTTCAAATGTGTACAGTTCAAAGAAATTAATACTTTTATTCAGCAAGGCTGCAATAAATTGATCAAAAGGGACAGTAAAGACTTTTACATTGTTACAAAATATTTCTATTTCAAATAAATGCTGTTATTTTGAACCATATTTTCATCAAATAATCCTGGAGACAATGTATTATGGGGACTAAAAGGTAAAGCGGTCTAATTTGAATAGGAAAAGTAAGACTGATTTAGCCTGGTTAAAACCAGACCATTCTCAGTTGTAACTGAGTTATGGTCTGGCAAAGCTTCATAGACAAATCATTTCCAAAGGTGCGTCACCAATGGACGTAGCTCAAATGCCTCTGGGCGCAATTGGATAGACCTAAAACCAATCAGAGCGATGAAGGAGATGATGTATGCAGAGCGACGTTCGTCTTTTATAGAACAACCAAAGCCCGTCTCTGGAAGTTCAAACTTAGTTTGAATAAACGAGCAGACACTGATTAGCTACTTGCTCTACGTTTATTTAAAATTAACAGCAAGACAACTAGAAGTGAATGTGCTCTCCACGTAAGACAAAGAAAAGAAAACTTTTGTCTAGTGCCACCAAAAGGGCCAAATTGGAGTCAGACAGGCGTCGGAATAAGACGAGAGTCAACATCGGGAAGGCTTTCAGCAAATGGAGAGATCTCCGGTCTGCTCTAGGGCTCAAACGGGATCCTCAGTTGGCTTTTTTCTTGATAAAACGGTTCATGAACGTGTTTCCATAATAATACAATCATAAGTGGATACAGTAAACACATAAAACAGTTCAAAATGGAGATAGATGGAAACAAAAACCGAAGTTTTCTACTACCCCCGTTTTCCCCTCACACATAAGTGTGTAATTGTGTCATATATTTAAAATGACTTGCAGATTTATAACTTTATTACCTCTGAAGACATTATGACTGTAAACAAAAGATTTGTGTGGCTGATGCTCCTTTGGTTTTGAACAGCTCGTCCAAGCGTCCGTGTGGCACACCTCTGGTTGCAGTTTCGCTTGTCGCCAGAGGGGGGCATAGTTCTGCAAAAACTCAGAGACTAGCGCAATGCACCTTTAAGGACATCTCCAAGATTTCTCTTCTTGGGAGGGGGTGGTGCACAGACCTCTCCCGAATCATCTCCAGCAGTAGCAGTAGCAGCCTCCGAAGCACCACTAACTCCGCCTCCGTTTCGCTCGTAAGCTGATATTAGTATTTAAACATTCTCTATGATAAAAAATGTTTGTGAAAAAAATATTTTAATAACATGGTTTTGGTGGTTATAGAGTTCTAATGACGGTGTTCAACTATAACCGTCACACACCTAGTTCCCTTTCTTTTACTGTCTATGCTAGTTCCACGGCGGCATCCATTTTTGTAAATGTACAAAATCTGCTTCACCGTCGCTGTGCTGTCGTCATCGTGTAAAGCCCGCCCCAACGTTTCTGATTGGTGCCGCGATTTCGACGGATTAGAAATTGGCTGGAATGAGCTCTTTGCCAGACTAAGGCCCTGTCCCAAATGGCGCACTTCATGCTGACTTTCGGTCTCGTGGACTTAAATTGCGCGTGCTCGCTGAGTCTACGAGTCCGTAGGCCGTCCTATTTAGCATTTTAACGCTCTGAAGTGTGCTCAGCAGCGCCCCCTTTGTACCCTTGAAGCGGTCTTCCGCGAAGCCCGCATAGATGCAGGCTCCACGCACTTTAACTATCCAGGAATCCTTGCGAAAGGCCAATCAGACAACGGATAGGAGGAGATTTCGCTCACAGACAATTGTTAACATGGCTGAAAAGAAAATATTTAAGTGTAATTATCATTACAGTTTGTATACAAGTTTATACAAACATTATGATCATCGACCAGTGGTTGATGTCTCAAACATAGGCTAATAATAGCGAGCTGAATAATACGATCGCATTATGATTCATTAGATAAATAGAACAGAATGTCAGGGCTTTACTGAGTCATATGTAAACACAACAACAATAGGCAGCATATTTCCCCGAACCTGTAGCTCCTGTCCATAACAACAATCAGACCGTCTTCCTGTTTCCGGCGTGACGATCGAGTCTGTCCCAAAAATACCTCTCAATGCGCCCTCGCGGACTCGCGCTAAGGGCCCTATAGGTCTGCACTACATGACATCACCGAAGTGTGGACTCTGAGGAAGTCCACAAGTCTGGAGTGTGCCATTTGGGACAGGGCCTAACTTGCAGAGCAAATCTAAATTTGCCGGAAGTTGTCTGGGTTTTCCCAGGCTAAGACTGATTACCTCTTATCTAACTACTTCTTAAAGGGATAGTTCACCCAAAAATGAAAATTATTTCATTAATGTTGACTCATGTCGTTCCAAACCCTTAAGATTTTTGTTCATTTTCGTAACACAAATGAAGATCTTTTTGATGAAATCTGAGAGCTTTCTATCCCTACATAGATAGCTACGCAACTGACACTTTGACACTTCAATAAGTTCATAAAGAGATCGTAAACTAATCCATATGAGAGGTTTAGACCAAATATTCTGAAGAGACGTGATCGCTTTATATGATGAACAGATTAAACAAATCTCTTGTGGAAGCTCAAACGTGCTGCGTAACATGAGAATGAACCTCATTGGTTATCACGCGTCAAGTAAACATTCTTGAGCTTCTGTTTACCTCAACTGATGAGTGAGTTGATAAATGTTTATATGTGAATAAAAGCCTAAATTCAATCTTTGTCAGGGTTCTGTCACTTCTGTCTTGTTTATATCTTGGTTTGGTGACAGAGCTCTGACACTCCCGGTTTGTCATGTGTTTGTGTATAGTCCTGTTTGTTGTGAGCACATGGCCTGTCAGGTGTTTCCTTGTGCCATGTGCTCTCCTGTTGATTGTCTAGCCCCTCCCATCTTGTTACCTGATTATTGATTAATTTGCCCCACCTGCCTTCCTTCGTTACCCTCTTTTGTTTGCTTCCCTATTTAGTCTCCCTGTGTTTGCAGTCCTGTGCTGGTTCGTTGTCTGTTCCCTGTTCCTACAAGATGCCTGTCTTGTTTCCCCCCACGGGGAGTTTTTGTTTGCAGTTTTGTTTTATTATTACCTCTTAATAAAATATCCATTGTTACTGCATTGAGTCCTCGCTTCACTATTACACCAATCCATGACAATCTGTTCATCATATAAAGTGATCGTGTCTCTTCAGAAACTTTTGGACTAAACCGCTCAATTCATATAGATTAGTTTTACGATTTCTTTATAATTTATTTTGAAGCGTAAAAGTGTCAGTTGCGTAGCTGTCTATGTTTCTGTCTCCGGACAGAAAGCTCTCAGATTTCATCAAAAAGATCTTCATTTGTGTTCAGAAGATGAACGAAAGTCTTAAGGGGTTGGAACAACATGAGGGGGAGTAATTATTAAAATGATTTTTATTTTTGGGAGAACGTCTCGGTTACGTATGGTAACCCTCGTTCCCTGAGTAGGGAACGGAGACGTCTCGTCGGAGGAGTTTCCAACGATTTGGGATCACGCTAGGGAGACCAATTGCCTTCGAGTGAATTAAAAACGAGCCAATGAATATTGGCATGCAGGACTTGCATTCCGCGCCCCGCCTGCCAGTGCGGGTATAAAGTGGAAGCGAGCGCATACACATATGCTTTACGCTGAGGAGCCGGACGGTGTCCAGTCCTCCGCGAAGGTACAGCAAGCATGGCGACGGGACGAGACGTCTCCGTTCCCTACGTACTTCCCATACGTAACCGAGACGTTCCCTTTCGTTAGGGAACTCCTACGTCTCGTCGGAGGAGTTTCCAATGAATTGGGATCCCTAATAACACGCCATGGTGGTGGCCCCTTCCAGCGCCCAGCTTAGCTTCCCGCCAAAGCAGTTTCTTAGTTTTCTTTATGGCGGGAGCTAGCTAGGAAGAATCACACTGCTGTTCCGCAAGACCCACTCAGTGGATTTGGATAACACTGGGAAAACGTGCCAAACCTGTAGGAGGGAACATTGCGGAGCCCCTGCCCGCCCGAAGGGAGGCACTGGAATACACGTATGTACTAGCCCGTAGGGTAGTGAAACATACGGCAGTCCTTGAGGTAGTCCCAGCCCGAGGGGTGGGAGCATACTCAGCAAGGACGACAGAACGGGTCTGTCGAGGGGAAGACACGGAGCTAACCCGGAGGGTAGCTGGAGCGTGGAAGAAATGGGTCACCGTAGGGACCACTGTTAAGGCCACCCAGTCTAGTAGCAACTCCTACGAGAGGTAATAGACCTGGCGCCGGGCGATCCGCCTCGCCTGGTGCCGGAGGGGTGATGGAGGAACTCACGAGGTTAGCCGTTTGTTGGGGAACCAACGGAGCAAAAAGCGCATTTATCCGGCCCATAGGGCGGGAATGGGGAAGCAAGCCGACATGACCTAATTCCTCGCGCTACTGGCCGTAGCGAGTACACGGGAGGAAACAGGTTCAACACGTAAGCTATAAAATCTAGCGAACGTGTTAGGTGTCGCCCAGCCCGCAGCTCTACATATGTCTGCCAGCGAGGCGCCTTGCGCCAGTGCCCAGGAGGAGGCGACACTCCTAGTGGAGTGTGCCGTCAACCTAGGCGGGCAAGGCACATCCTGGGACTCATAAGCCCGGACGATAGCATCCACTAGCCAGTGGGCTAACCTCTGCTTGGAAACAGCCTTCCCCTTCTGCTGGCCTCCGTAACAGACGAAGAGCTGTTCTGAGGTCCTAAAGCTTTGCATTCTGTACACAAAACAACGTAAAGCACGTACGGGACAGAGAAAACCCAGGGCTGGGTCTGCCTCCTCCGGGGGCAGCGCTTGCAGGTTCACTACCTGATCTACAAACGGAGTGGTAGGAACC